ACACACACACACACACACACACACACACCAAATGACATACAAACATTGACTAAACAAGTAGTTTTATAAAGAATAAACATCTAATTGTGTCCCGCACATGCAGTCTGGGGGGTAAAATAAGTGTTTGAGTGTACAGAATGTGCCATCACATTTATCTATAGGCCATGTGGTTTATGTACTCATGCAGATGAGAGAATTAAGTGTTGCTTCTGATGAAAATAACATTTTATATTATGCTACTGCATATGGAGTTTTTTCAAGCAGAGTGTTTTTATCTCTAATAGCGGAAGTTGGTGCACATGCTTTGCTGAAACAAGACATAAATGACTTGACATGCAGCTGCAAGCTCTCCGTTTTCACTTTTCAGTAAAGTGGCAACAGCATTAATTGGTGAGGACAACAGGATCACACAATGGACAAGCTTAAACAGGTTGGCATAAAAAAACAGTCACCTTTAGCAAAGCCAGTCAAATAAAGGTCAGAACGGTGGCTTTAGGTTTGTTTTTGGTGTTGTTGTAAAAGTAAAACTGATTAATTATTTTCAACAAGTGATGGACCGTAGTTGAATTGGTAGCTTCCCTGCAAACATGTCCTCACGGGGCCTATGCTGGCTTTTTGTGGGCACAGTGGGCTAGGGCCAGCCCACACCAAACCTAAACAGGCCCAGTGTGGGCTTGCCCAGGCGAGGCCCACAGCTTTGGGCTCACCACAGGCTCTCTGTTAGCAGCCCATGTCGGGCCAGACATGAGCCTGTTAATAAGAATTTTTGTGGGCAGTTTTCTTCCTTACCACTAGGGATGCTAGAGTGTTTTAGGTTTCCTTAAAGGCACAATATGTAATTTTCACCGCTAGAGGGCGCGTATTCAAAATAAACAAATAGACAAAGGCATAGTTTGATGATGCCGTGACTGAGTGTGGAGTGGGAGTTGTCGTCTTCATCCCCACAGCCGATGCAATCCGACGGGACCACGGCAGAAATCATGTTCATGGATGAGCTAATGATTTATTAACATAGTAGAATGAAGCGAAACGAGGCCGCTGAACGAGCGTGACACACGGCTCGAAAGCAGCGGAGCTTTTATTATGCCACAGTCAACTGCTTCCGCTCCTTCCGGTGACGGTCGTGCGTATGTGGGGGGAAAAAGCAGTGGCTGTTTTATCATACTAGATACATTTGAAAGTTCTGTTATAATGCTACTCTGTGCGGTCTTCACCGGTCTATTAAAGCACACAACATATTAAAGTGTCTTTGGTGTTTCCATGTTTTCTACAAAACAAAACCGGAAATCGAGGGGTTATGACGTCATTGGCAGGCGACACAATGACACTATGGACACGGTCCGTGTGACTAGTTAAAATTCATTATTTCTCAGGATTTAAACATTCTTCGAAACATTAGGGATAATGTAAGTGCACAAGTCAGCAAAATATATAACACTGTTCTAGTGGTTTTTGGATATTTTAATAAAAAAATCTTACATATTGTGCCTTTAAGAATCCTTTCGAATATAAAATTATATAGTTATATACACTACCAGACAAAAGTTTTCAGGCAGTAAGATGTTTAAAGCTTTTTTAAAGAATTCTCTTCAGCTCACCAAGCCTGCATTTATTTGATCCAAAATACAGCAAAAGCAGTAATAGTGTGAACTATTTTTATTGTTTAAAATAAAACTGCTGTCTATTTGAATATATTTTAAAATGTAATTGATTCCTGTGATTTCAAAGCTGAATTTTTAGCATCATTACTCCAGTCACATGATCTTTCAGTATAAAACAATATATAATAAAATGATAAAGAAAGAAAATATATTGCATTTTTATCAACATCAAGGACCCTGAACTGGATGTTGTGCAGGAAAAGAAGAGGGTTCATAAGCTAATGAAAAGATAATCATTAATATAAATTAATAGATGTAATATATTCATAAAATGTAAATAAATAAATCAATAAACACTTGAACACTAAAATGAAATATTTTATTTCTCTACATGCATGGCATGTGACCATTAACAGAGTATCAACTAGTTATGAATGTGTATGCTGCCATTGTGTAAATAATATGTAATCATTTAATCAATAAAAGTAGCTGTAGTACGATTATGAGAATTTTAACTAACAATCCAATTACAAGCACTTCATTTTTGGAATCTGATTACATAAGAAAAGTTAAAAAAACAAAACAAATCAAACACCTGAGTTCTGTGCGAGGATGAAGGCCACCCTGTTGGTGCCTGGCTGAATCCTGATGAATCCACACTCCCTGTGAAGTGGCTTTTTGCTCTCAGCATGGAATGCATTAAACCTAAAATAAATTAAATAATTTTTGACTGTCTGCCTGTGGGTCAGAACATGGCATAATAAAAAAGTTTTTTTTTAAAGCCTCTGGGTTGTTTTGTTACTTACATAAAATTAATCACGGGCTGTCCTACATGTGAGAAATGAAGAGTCTCTGTGTAACGAAAAGCCGTGATGGAGGGGAAGGATCCTTCTCCTGGCTCATCGGACTGCCAGGTTCCCAGGAGCCAGTCCAGCGGCAGCACTGCGGGGTTCAGCTCCGCTGTGGAAACACGGAGGCCAGGGGAAATAAGGTCGAAGCACGCTTGTCCGTGATGTAAAATATGTTCACGTTCTGATGCACCTGCTGATTATTAAATGCATGTTTCATTTGAATGGTAATACGTTTGACCTACAGACAACAGCTCGGAAATCCATAAGAAATAAGACAAATCAGGTGTTTATGAATTTAAATGGAATCATCATGTTGTCCTACCAGAGTGATTGAATGGGCATGACATTCCGCTTGAATACTTTCAAGTAACCACGAATGTTATCAATTTAAGTGACACTAAATTTATTTCGCACTGCAGTTGAACCACTTTCTGTTTGCCATCGCAGTGCGTGTCTACTTCCTGATTAGACACTAGGAATTCTGGGAGATGTAGTTGTTAGGCGCTCTATCGATAGCCTACTATGGCCGCTTTCGAAGCACTGTTTCGTGAAACTTCGAAACTTTTGCGAATCATTTGTTTCGAAACAGTGGTTCGGAGCGCGTATCAAACTGCCAAAGTCAAGTGATTTTAGTAAACGAGGCTTCATACGTCATAAATGTTTCGAAATTCCAATGGCTTTCCATTGGGGGGCGATCTCTGTGAACCAGTGAATCGTGCGAGTTTATTGAGATCGCCTCCCAGCGAACATTGAACCAGCGTCTATGGTTTTTACCTGGGGCAAGTTCAAGCTCAAACCGGTGCGCAACGTTTTGCTACGGTTTCCGGTTTGAACGACATGCTTCCTGGAAACGGTGTGCAAAGGCGTGCAACGGGGTTTGTGATAAGTTTTCTCTTGTGTGGTGGGTGTCTCAAAAATGTCAGCCCAATCGCGGTATTAAAGAGACAATGTAATTAACATCAAAATAAATTCACAAGAGCAAGTATATTGTTTGCACATGTTTATTTACATTAAAGGCAAAATAACTGAAATAATAAGAGCACAATAGATCTGGAACTTCTTTAAGTCTGTCTAAATATCCTTTAGTAATTGCAATGTCTTCTGGTCCATATCCTTTCCTTAGGAAGGTGTGCTAGACACTGATTAATATAACATAAAAATACAATACATGTTTATATATTTTGCTATTGTATTGTGGAGTGACACTTTCATAAACTTTTCTATATTCCTCTGATTATATAATGGTAAATATTACAGCACAACAGCACAACAACAGTGATCAGCAATAATGATAAGCCTAATACTCACAATAAAAATAATAAGGCCATATAGATAGTCTCGGAGTCTCGGAGGTAAGAAGTGGATTATCCTTCACCTGAAATGTTTGTCTTTTCATCCTGAAATGCGAGGCAAATGTTGGCTCACAATAATTAGGAACCACAGTTTCCACAAATCCCTTTGCAATTGGTTCAATTGATTTGAAGCTTCGAAAAGGTACGTTTCTATAGGGTTAGATCTCTGCCACAATTCTGCACGCGAAAGATCATATTTTGAGCGCACAAAAGTGCATTTTGCACGTGCACGATCAGAGTTTTGTGGAGAAAATTTTCGTTTCGCAAAGAAAAAAGTATTTTGAGCGCACTAAAATCAATTTTGCATTTAAAATAAGTTTTTGGATGTGTGCAGACCTTCTCTTTTGCGCGTGCAATGTTTTACTAGCTTGCTCCCTTGATGCCTGCCTTCAGTGCTCTCTAAATGCTGGCGGCTGGCTTGCGCAACACAACCCAGTTACAATATGCCATAATTCCAACCAATCACAACATTCCTTGCATTTCTGATGACAGCGGAGAGGGAAAATACAGTGCATGCATAATTATTATGCAAGTTGATATTCTGATTATATTTTTTCCAAGCACATTTTACCAATTCCCAACAACATCAATCTTAATAACTACTATTAATCTTGTAATTAATCACTTATAACCTATATATTATTGTTCATGAAGGCTGGAAGTGAAAAACCTTATATTCAGGTGTGCATAATTATTAAGCAAGTTATCTTCTACAGATAAAATCTCAAGATGGACTAAAAATGAACTCCCAAATCTTACTGCCAGATTCTGGAAGATAAATTCTTCAAACAGTGGTACAAGAGGATGTGGTCCTTCAAGAGTCACTCTCAACTTATCAGATGAAAAGAAATATTGTAACCTGTAAAATAATAGCCTATGAAAAATTAAATAGAAAAAGAAAAAGACACCACTTAATCTATTTATTTTGCTATACAGTTATAATATTAAAGTCAGGGCAACAGCTCTGGTGGACATTCCTGCAGTCAGCATGCCAATTGCACGCTCCCTCAAAACTTGCGACATCTGTGGCATTGTGCTGTGTGATAAAACTGCACATTTTAGAGTGGCCTTTTATTGTGGCCAGCCTAAGGCACACCTGTGCAATAATCATGCTGTCTAATCAGCATCTTGATACGCCACACCTGTGAGGTGGATGGATTATCTCAGCAAAGGAGAAGTGCTCACTAACACAGATTTAGACAGATTTGTGAACAATATTTGAGAGAAATAGGCCTTTTGTGTACATAGAAAAAGTCTTAGATCTTTGAGTTCAGCTCATGACAAATGGGGGCAAAAACAAAAGTGTTTTATAATGTTTATAATTTTGTTCAGTGTATATATATATATATATATATATATATATATAAATCAGTCTTCAAGTATTTTACTACACTTCAGTATGTGATTCTTATTAAGTAGGGGTCATTTTTTAGGATTCTATACTTAACCTGAGTCTCTGAGAACCTGACACCTTGTACTTCTGGAGACTCCAGGTAGGTTGCAGTTCAGGAAAATGGTGGCGCTGGAGACTAAATGGTTCCTGGTGATTTCACACCTAATTCTTCACCTTGATTCCTAATTCTTTTGCAGTTAACGTGCATCTTTTCTTCTCCACATGTTTTTGACTGACCCACTGAACATTTTGCTGTCCAATTATTATGCATTAACTTTGCAATTTCTAGTATTGTATTAGTTTTGAATATTTCTCATGGGCATTTAATAATTTCTCTTTTTTATAAATCTCTTTTTTTGTGTGGCTAATTTTATCGTCTGCAAATAGCTGAAATGGCAACTAATAATGACTTAATGAATGAAAAGACTTTTCGGGATTTAAGAGTAGGCCTACGGACAAGAGTATAGATTAAATAGGCTACTTGCGTCATTACATCAACTAAAACATAAAAATACACACAGAGAGAACAAAAACAAAACGCAACAGTTTATTTTCTGTGAATGTTGCCTACTTTTCATTTTACTTTTATAAAAGTACACTTTTACTTTTATTTTATTAAAATTATTTTTTTCTTTTTTAACACAGACGTGACCCATAAAAATAAAAACATAAGATTAAACAAAATAAAAGAAAATAAAGCTGCTAAAGTGTTGTTTTTAATCAAACAAATATCTACATAAACAAGCCAACTATTCATTGTACATTTTTTATTGTCAAACTGTGAGAATCCAGTATAACAGACACAAGATTTAAAAACAGCGTTATATTTACATTTTAATTTGACATAATTTGACTTCGATATATCATTTCACTATGAAATATATATTGTTAGGCTATTATCAATTGTTTTTGTAAATATTTTTTATACAGTCACATGCCATTTTATTTCCAAATGGTCAAACATTTCATTTCATTAAAGCTGTTGAAGTGTTTATAATAGAAAAACATATATACAGCGCAACACATCGTAATTATTTTATTGTCAAACTGTGAGAATCCAATATAACAGATGTAAATTCATTAACTTGATTTCAATTTGATGTGTTATATTTACATTTTAATTTGATATCTTAATTTGAACTTAACTCTAAAATCATCAGTTACTTTCTAACGAAAATAAAACCTTAAATCTGAACAGTCGGTGATATCTCTTCCCTCTAGCGAAGTTATCTTGTGAGGTCATAGGCCAGCAGGGTAATCAGTCATGAGAATGAGTTCAATCGCCTTAAACTCATCATGGCTTCTGGTCTTGGCGAGTTTCTCCGCAGTTTAAGACGAGGCCTTGTGCAAGGTGAACAAAATTCACCTGCACGTGGAGATACTCAGGTTGGGGAAGTTGCTCGTGCGAGAAGGTAGGCAGTCGAGTCGCGTTGGAGGTTTAAACAATACTTTGGGATACCAGTTAGACAATGACACACTTCATATAGGTAGACTGAAAGTGTATTTTTCATTTGTCATAGGCGGAGAGATGACACCTCCATGCCGACGCCTTTGCAACGTGAACCGTGTAAAACTCGACCTGTGTTTGAACTTTGCGCAAAGGGCAGCCATGGAAGTTATATGGAGAGGCAAGTTAATCCACGTGTAAATATTTAAGTTTGTATATTATTGCATATAGTACAGCATGTTATCTGTCCATCTTAGATTGCCTTCTGAGATCATCTTGAAGATCTTTTCCTTTCTGGATGCATTCTCTCTGTTCAACATCAGCTTTGTCAACAAGCAGTTTCATGATCTGGCTAACAGCAAGTGAGTTCATGATATAAATATTTTTAAATAATAGGAATATTATTTATTAACATGGACGTCCAGTGCGTTGTGGTCTGTGTTGTATGCTTCTGAGATTGAAAAGAAAATGTGGAGACCCCGAGTAAGCATGATTAAAGAAGCTGTGAGCAGCACAATTGTGGAGGAGAAGCCTGCTGGATACTGGAAGAAGCTGCTGCTCAAGGAGATGGCCGGCTACAAGGACACCATGTGGAAAACAGAGCTAAAACACATGAACCCGCACACGGGCATGCCAGCTCTGACGGAGCATGTTCTCAGGTAGAACATAAGTGCTCTGTGCTTTTCAACAGGGTAGAAAGATATCTTTTCCTGTTATTCTTGTTAGTTCTACACAAAAGCATTTTTCATTACTTGCGTAATGTGTATTTTATATTACCGAGAACTGCAGTAGGCCATATAAGTAATTGAGCCCTTTATCAAAACCAAAAATATATGAATGCATCAAAATATCAACCGAAGAGACATTTGTTTAAAAAGAAAAACCAATGCATTTCAAGCAAAGCATTTATGAAACAATTTATATTATTCAAAATTGAGTAGAGATCAATATACATTTTTTTTCCTGACTGATACAAATTATTTTTAGATTTGTGTTTTGTGTTTGTCCGATAACAAATATAAAGAACCAATTTGAAAAAAAATATTGTGATAGAAATACTGAAATAAAACTATTACAATATTAAATAATCATTATTTTGTCCATGAAACATATAAAAACATATTGTGAGATGTTAAATATTATAATTTTATGAGTAATTAAAAAAAATATATATATTTTTATACATACAGGTACATGCTACTTTATTTCTGCAGTGGTTTTATGATCCAAAAGGTCAAACATTTAATTTAATTAATTCCCTTTTATTTATTTCCTTTGTTTTGAAATGTCTTATACAGCATAGCAAGACATTGTTTTAGAATATGTCTTGCTAGTATGCTATATTACTCTTGCTATGATATGTGAGACATTTTGTGACAAGTAAATAACTTTGAAATTAAATGAAATGGCAAAATAGGTGGGTGAATACAAGTAAAAAAAAAATGGATATTCGTCTAACCAATTATGAGTATCTATAAAATTTAAATGTAGCGTTAAACCAAAATGTAAAAATTTGCTGAAAATTTGTTCACCCTCAGTCCATCCAAGATGTAGATGAGTTTGTTTCTTTATCAGAGCAGATTTTGAGAACTTTAGCGTTACATTACTTGCTCACCAATGGATCTTCTGCAGTGAATGGGTGCCGTCGGAATGAGAGTCCAAACAGCTGCTAAAAACACACGACTCCAGTCCATCAGTTAAAGTCTTGTGAAGTGAAAAGCTGCATGTCTGTAAAAATCAAATACATCAGTGAGATCCATAATACTTAATCCAGTGAAAAAGTCCATCCTCCCACATCAAAATCCACCAAGATATTTGTTCAGAATGGTGCATAATCTATGCACATTCCTCTCCTGAGGGTGAATACATTTTCAGAAAATGGGTGAACTATCCCTTTAAAGCATCTGGATGCTTTCTGGCTGTCAAATGCTTTTGTAACATGTCCATAGTGAAAGTGAGGAAATACACCAGTGCTTGCTGTGTTTTACAGGAGGTTGCACATTCAGTGGGAGATCACACTCACAAATAGGCATGGACGGGAAAGTGTCTATGAGCAGACGCACACTTTCTTCGAAGATTCATCGGTTACAGTGTGCTGGAGCCAAGGTGCCTGGCCGTGCATGTACACTGTTAATAGCCTGCAGCTTCATGGAATAATGTGTCCAGCTTCACCAGCTCCAGGAGACAAGTAAGAAACATCGGAATAATCTGAAGCATAATACATACTCGTCTGACTAATGCCTCTCGTGCAGGCCAAGGTGGCGCTCTCTGATTCGCAAGACAGCTTTGCAAAGAACAGGACATTGTTCGTTCTTTGGTGCTGACAGGCTTGTGAAGGTGCTGCAGTTTGATAAAGGGATCATCGTCGGACTCTGGCGGGTATGTTGATAAATTTAGCCAAGTTATATTAGGGATGCACAATACAGTATTTCAGTACTATATTGGTAATCGGTCAATAACGTTGTATATGTGTGTGTGTGTATATTTATACCCTACCATTTAATGTTATGGTGCCTAAATTCACTTGCAGCGTTTAAAATGATTGTTTGTTTTTTGTTTTTAGAAAAGAATTTTAATGTCATTTATTTGTTATCAGCCATAACATGGAAATAGTAAAATAAATTACTTGATTGGTGTATTCGTAATATAAAACATTCCGTTTTTGTAAAATATTAACTATTATAGTTATTGAAAACATTATATATCCTGTCTGTTTTTGTTTTTATGTTAATTTGTGGTGTTCGTAGGGCAATTGGAAAATTGCCTTCATCATGGTCAACCTGCACTTCCACAAACTGATTGAAAGAAGTCTTCTCGGGTCAAGATTTTGGTACAAAACTCTTAATGGTTAATTTCTTTGATAAAGTTGATAACATGTCACACAGTCCCTTAACACAAAGTATGTTTGTTCACATCAATAGTCCCTACTTACCTGCAGATGACAATGCTGTGGACCTTGACTATAGCCGCCATGGATACACTCTGCACATCGTGCTTCACAATCCAGTTCAGCGAATCATGTGTCAGCGCTTTTCCCCACTGTACACCCGCAGAGGTAAATATATAACATTTTTGTAAACCCATTTTTACTTTTATTCCCCTCCGTAGTCTGGTTTTCAACCAATTATGAGCAACTTTTTGATATTTAAATTATATGATGTGAATATGAATGTTCTTGGGCTTCACAGTGATGTCGCAAGGGGAATTTGTGCAGTTAATCGCCATTGATTTCGCTAATGTATCCGAGCACGTGCCCGTGACGAAGTTCAGTCTTCCATGGCAAGCACATGGTTTGCAGGGAGAAGTTGAGGTACCTATGATTCATTCCTGATTCTTATGCTCATTGGCACTTTATTTAGACTTAATTTCTCTCTGGAGTCAGTGCTGGCATGCTATTCTTAGGATACTGTCTATAAATAGATTGGTAGGTTTCACGCTGTGCGCAAATGGGGAACATAAACAAGGCCAAATACTGAAAGTCTGAAGTTAAATGCACTTTAAGTGCAGCTTTGAGTTGATAACTGGATTTACAACATTAGAATGTAGCAATGGCTGAAAATATGCTGCCACTGTTTATTGTGTTTTAGTTGGATAGGCATGTCCTTAACTTGCTTCCTTTATCAAGGAATGATAAAAACAACAATGTTTACTTGCTCCACATATCCAGCGGTGCTGCATGATGACTCTGACGGTGCTGGATGAGGCTCAGCGTCCCTTCTGGTGTGTGAGTTCTACTGTAAAAATGTACAGGAGACAAAGAGTGCTGGACTTGGAGAACGAAGGTGAGCAGTTCATCGTCCTTTACGGGGATGCCGAGGGGAAGGTCAAAATGACCTTCGTGTGGATGGAAGAGTTTCAGCACTACTTTTTGGTGCAGTTAGTTACTATGTTCCCAACAGCCAAAGTGAAAAGGCACTTTAGTGGGGAATGTTGAAACTGTTGCAATGCCTAGCTGGTTTATGTTTAGAAAAGTTTAAATGATTCTGGCAGTGCTTTGAGTTGTAAATATTCAAAGATGATTTTGGAATTTTTTTCAAGCTTATTTGTTTCTTGTTCATGTAAATTTGCATTTTGGCAGTTTATTATTGTAGATGTCTGAAATGTTTTGTCGCGTTTCAGAGGCATTGAGTTTTTGCTTTTATGTTTTGTTTTCCTGGAAATGCCAAAGCACTATTTTTATTTCAGTACCAATTTAAATTTGGTAAATGTTGTTCAACTTTTTTTATTTTTGGCATTGTTTCTCATAGTCAAATAATTTTTCAAAAGGAGAATAAATAACGCAATGGTTTGAACATCCTGTGTACTGTGTAACTGAACTCGCACTGTAAACCCAAATGATGAAATTATATTAATGATTTATTTCTCGGTAATGTTTTTATAAAGGTCATTCAAGTGCTGGAGTGATGCTTGTCGAAACTTTAAAAAGGACATTGAGAAACATTCAAAACAGCTGGTTTTGGTTCAATAGGAGGCATAATGTACTATTTCTAATCGATTAAAATTCTTCCTCATTATACCAATCATTATGAAACATCATATATAATAACTCTTCCATTACATTAGTGTGTAATTTTCGCACTACAAGCATCACCATATGAAACGGCAAAAATATACAGGTCAACAGTAGTCGTCAGGCTTTGGACATTCGACACTGCTTTAAAGCGTCTTCCAGAGCTGCAAGAGCCATTGCAGCATTGGCCTTGTTGCAGTTGTATCCCATAAGCCCAATCCGCAATAACTAGAAAACAGTTGAGTGGATGATTATTCAGTCATGTAGTTGAATGCATTATTTTTTTTGTTGACAAGCTTTTACTCACCATGCCAACAGAGGGCCCTAGTCCTCCTGTAAACTCGATTCGGTGATGCTTCATGATGTAAGCCAGCAATTCTTTCCAGTTATACCCTTCAGGGATGGCAATGGTGGTGACGGAGGGTAATCTCAGATCCTTTGGGAATGGATATGTATTTTAAATGCTTTCTCTTTTAGGTTATATTATTGTTCTGAGAATTAATAATGTGACGTTTACCAACAGTTACCTTGTCCTTGATAAACAGCTTCAAGCCCAGGTCTTCCAAACCCTTCCAGAAATACTCTGCAACTTCTGTGTGATGCTTCCATGAGTTCTCGAGACCCTTGAGCAGACATTTTAGAATTATTAGATATCAGTGAAGACATCAAGATATCAAAAAACATGTATAGTAATTGCCTAATAGCAGACATACTATGTATACACTTGTAATATATATATATATTGTAACGAATCAGCTCATGTGAAATATGAATAATTAACCATAACTAGTTATAATTAACTATTCATATTTTAGATCCGCTGTAGATATTTAGCTGGCCTCTCAGGGTCAACTGTCTTGTCAATTCTAAGAACGTTAATTTCCTGGTTAAGGGAAATAACTAAAAAAAAAGGGGTCCTAAGAGCTGTAGGAAATTAAAAGGGAAAAACAAAAAACAAATTTTTTTGTTTGTTTTTTTGTTTTTGTTTTTTGATTTAATTAAATCGCAAATTCAATACAAATCAATTCAGCTGAATTGGTACATTTGTGCTAAACAAATGTAAATAAATGCAATAAAATAAAAAAAAGGTAGAATAAAGTCAAAACAAAAAAAAACAGATGCATATGTGAGAGAGGCGTTTCCCGCACCACCCCTCTGTGGGGTGTCCTGAAGATGCCAGTGCATTGTTTGCCTCTCAGGGGATCAAAGTATTCTAGTTTCTTTTATCCTTACAGGTATTAGCTTAAGAGTTTACATTTACATTTACATTTAGTCATTTAGCAGACGCTTTTATCGATGATCAGGAATGGGTTCCCTCACAAGCATACTAAAATAGTCTACAAATATCAAAGACAAAATACACAATGACAATAATATACCCAATGGCCTGAAGAATATGTGTGTTCATTCAAATAACGGTTTTCCTATGAATTAACTAGAACACAGTCCATTTCTACTCTGCCTTTCCTTGGGACATGCAGGGATTTTCCCTGCTTTACATACTTTTGGCCAATAAACCCAGTGATATCAGCGTTGGTTGCCATGCAACAAAGGGGCCTGTTCGGCTTCCAGGGGTGTTACGCATTCCGGGGGGAAGGGTTCATGGGTCCTCGTATGGCTTGTTAACTGAGGGGGGGTACAGAGTATTTGTTAAATATAAAAACAAAATATATATTGTGTTTGAATGGTCCAGACGCTACAATATATATATATATATATATAACAAATAGTTTTGAGCAAGAATGCTTTAAATTGATCAAGAGTGACCATAAAGACAGTTATATAATTACAAAAGATCTTAATTTCAAATGTTACATAAGAAATGGATCAGCATATTAGAATGTTTTCTAAAAGGATCATGTGACACTGGAGTAATGGCTGCTGAAAATTCAGCTTTGCCATCACAGGAATAAAATACATTTAAAATTGTTGAAATAGAAAACAGTTATTTTGAATTGCAATAATATTTCACAATCTCACTGTTTTACTGTATTTTTAATTGAACACATGTAGCCTTGGTGAGCATACGAAGAAAAATACAAAACTTTTGAATGGCAGTGTATGTGACATCACAGATTTGTAAATCTAAACACCCGGCCTGTTATAGTTCAAACTAAAATACATGGTTGAGAAAACAAGCAGTAGGTCATATAATTGTAGACTTTGGGACCAAAAGGTTAACCATCGAGTGAATTATAATGACGAGCAAGGTGTTAAATGTTTACTTTGAGTAAAAAAAAAAAATACACATCTAGCCCCTACCGTTTCAGCAAGGATGGCTAGACTTTCTCTCAGAGCAAAGAAACCAGACACAGGTCCTGTGTGATGGTATCTGAAACACAGTTTAGTGTTAACTTTAGACAATCCTTAACTCAATCCTCTACTAAACTCAATTCATGGAGGGCCACCGCCCTGCAGAGTTTAGCTTCTACTCTAATTAAATGCACCTGATCCAGGTAATCAAATCCTTCAGGTTTATTTAAAAACTACAGTATGGTAAGTGTGTTGGAACTAAACTCTCCAGGACTGTGGCACTGCAGGAATTGAGATTTGCAACCATGCTCTACTAGGTCTCACAAGAGCAACAGTTTGCATTTACAGTACTTACATTCTTTCTGGCTTGCCATCATTGCCCCAGTAATTGGATAAGTTGGTCATATCAAGAAGGTAGGATACTGGCTTTGTTTTCCTGTTAAACATCTTGTGGCTATATCACATTTGAGAAGAAATGTATAAAGTTTTTAAATGTTTGAATGATTCAATGTGTGTAAGCACAAACATTTCTTCTCACCATGCTCTTTCACTGAATGAAATTGGTGCTGTGCCGGGTGGAGCATTCAAGGCTTTTTGGGAACCAGTATAGAGAATATCAATATCTATGAAGGAAAAAGGTTTGAAGAGTTGAATTCAATCCACACGCTTTTGCACGGAGATTTAGAATATGGACTTGGTAAATAACATTGTGGTTTCATGCTCATAAAATTTCACATTTAAATAACTTCATATTTTGATCCACTCACTTTGCTGGTCCATTAAAAGCGGTGCCGCTCCCAGTGACGCCACTGAATCCACTAAGAGCAAACAGTTGTATCTGTATAGACAAAACCATGCGAGAGAGGTATATAAAGTTAAGGATAGGGGGAGCAGTAGACAATACAGATATTTAACTTTAAAATTCTTAGAGCACAGGTTCTTTCAAAGGTTGTATATGTGTAGGCTACTAGTAATGAAAAATATGTAATGTAAAATACTAGTAATACTGTATACTTGTAGAAATTAACCTTTTATTTTACCTTAACATTTTTCTTAAAGGGGTCATAGGATGCCCATTTTCCACAAGTTGATATGATTCTTTAGGGTCTTAATGAAAAGTCTGTAACAGTTTGGTTCAAATTTTTCAATGGTAGTGTAAAAAACACTTTTTTTAACCCTGTCAAAAACAGCTCTTTTCAGATCAAGCCGTTTTTGTAGCATTTTCCTTTAAATGTTAATGAGCTCTGCTGACCCTGCCCCTCTCTTACGAGCTGCTCAGAGAGACTGTTCACTTCAGCCGCATTCATCGTGAAACTTGCTAATTAGCACATTATTAGGAAAGGCGATTTGCAAAGATTCATTACAAAACATTATACTCGCTTCTTCTGTAGATGAGGCTGGCTCATGAATGATTCGCGCGAACATAGACGCATCTATGTAGATCGGGGGCGCATTCCTTTCAGAAACAATTAATCCACTGCGTCTTCAGCGGCTCAAATGTCGGGAGTAAATGACGACTGCTATGTTCATTATTACATCCAACAATGGAACACTTCAATTGCTTAGGAGTCAGTCTGGTCTTCATCTGCTCCGGCGGTGAAACAATGGCGGACTGATGACAGCTCACTCACGGCAGGTCTAAGGTAAGACACCAGTCCAGTCTGTGCTGAAACACTACTGTCAATCAAACTATTGTGGGAAGGGTATGTCTGTGTGACGTCACACAGACAGGCATCTGAGATCGGCTCGATTTGAGAAAGGGGAAAACATTTAACCAGATAAAAAAAACACGGGGTGGATTTTTATCATTATAGGGTGGTTGTGTACACACTGCCAACACACATTTCAGTTCAAACAACTTGTAAAAGTGCATGTAGTATCCTATGACCCCTTTAAATATTTATTTCTATTTGATGTATTTATTTATTTTTAACAAATAATCAATTGTCAGGAGTGTATCTGAAAAGTGCACCAATCAGAAATATTTGCATGCAAAAAAAGATTTTACAAAAAAGCACTATAGAAGTTGCATAGTAACTTGTGCAACAGTGATTGTAGAATATTCTTACTTGTGACAAATATCACCAATGCCGTCCACTGGGTGCACCAGACCAGCTGATGACTCTCCATGTGTGAGAAAGAAGAGAACTGGCTTATGTTTAGCCAGGGCCTATAGAATGTAAAATGCTGGTTATAGAGCAGGGGTTTGCTTTACCAACTTACAGTGTCATATGGAATTGAAATATGTATATCACTAATAGTATAGTTATCAAGTAGTTTCACCTGTTCAATTTCTGCATTTGTAAAATGTCCTCCAGGTGTTTTAACCAAGGTGTGAACCTTTGCACCTGGGAAAACAGAAAGATGTTAAAGAGTAACCATGCTCTCATACCCTCTACAAATAAGGGTGGATTTCTAGAGAACGCCAGTGGGCTGGCATTATTTTTATTATTAGTTTTATACCCATCCGCTCAGCAATTTCTGCAACTCGTTCTCCCCAGATTCCATTGATGGCAACGAGAACGCTTTCTCCAGGCTCCACAATGTTGAAGAGTGCACACTCCATCGCTGTGTGTCCAGAGCCACTCATGGCCAGTGTCATGTTGTTACTGGTCTGAAAAGCGTACTGGATTCCCTTCTTGATATCATTCATAATCTATGACAAAATATGTGCAGTGACTGTTAGAATCCTCCAAACATCCAAGTTTCCACAAATGCAGCTCTGAATCCAAAATTACACCGTTAATATATTGTTTTGTTTTTTTTGGCCTAGATCTATTAATCAGTTATTCCAACATTTGATTTGGAAAAAAAAATGGAGCTATTTGGAAATTCTGCTGCTGTTAAAAAAAAATTTATTTGACATGATTAATTGAATACTTAAACTTTACTAAATATAGCTTTTTATAGAAAGGTTTTTATAAGTATAGGCTATATATATAAATATTTAAAGAATAGGCCAAAGCATTTAAAGATGATGACATTTTTGAAAGGAAATATTTAAGTTGTTTTGTAACTTTTTGTATGGCTAAACTAAAGATCTTTACATGTATTTTGATCATTAAATTATTGTTTGTAACGCTATTTTAATTAAACCAATAATGCACAAGGCTTGGTTTCAGATTATGCCTTTATTGTTTTTTTATATACTGTATCCACTTAAATTAATTAAACTCTGACACCATTTTAAGGGCTTTTGCATCTCTACTTTTCATATGTTTTCAATAGATAAATTAGCCCTGTGCATTATAGGGAATAATATTCTGAATATTTTACAGTTGGTTTGATACCTTTATCTCAAACTGTGTCAGAGTTTAATTAATTTAAATGGATACTGTATGTAAAACATGACAAATATGGATTCGGTACTATATATAAAAACAGTAAAGGCATAATCTGAAAAACCAAGCCTTGTGCATTATAGGGAATAATATTCTGAATATTTTACAGTTTGTTTGATACCTTTAGATCAAATGGTGTTGTCGTTTAATGGATTTATATTATAGCATTCATTAAAAATGTTAAAATTATTATAAAAAACATAAAATTGTAATTCCAAAAACGGAGCTTTGTGCGATAACAGGTATGTTTTTCCGAACATTTTAGTAATAATTTTATATTATAATGTCACGTAGTTAAATTGTTTAATTAATTTATATGGTTAATTTTTTTTTAAATTCCTAGAAATCAAGCCTTGTGCAACATAAAGGGCATATATTTATGTCTATCTGAGTTAGTTTGGGCTCAAAACATAAAAGCTGCAAAGAGTTTAATTGGCAAAAAACCCGAATGTCTAATGAATGTCAAACTAACTTTACCGCCGTTTAGATTTTTAATAACATGCTACGTGTGTGTTTTAAGCTAGATTTTCTTAGAAAACGTTTTTTTGCCATCGATCCATATTAAAGTTGTAAAATGCATTTGTGCGTAAAAATGTAGCGTGAGATTTACCCCGAACATTTCCGAGTGCATGTGACCTATTATAGGTCTCCCTCCTGCTGCTAAAACGCGAGGCGGCACATTGGAGGGTCCTGGTCCAAACAGGTACCGGAATGGAGCCTCGAGCGGCCGGTGGCAAAACGCTGGTGGCGGGATGGTGACGGAGGACATCCCGCGGTGGACGCCGTGTTTGGTGGACCGCGCGCTTTCCAAAGGCACCTGCTGCGTCAAGCGCGCACACCTGGATAGGACGCTCCTCGGCATCATGTTTCCTTTCTCTGCTGTTAGTTAGAAAGACAAAACTTTGCGTTTGTCCAACATTTCAAACAAACGGGTCTTTGACCCCTGGAACACAGAGCAACTTGCGTCATGCTTTTGGCACAAAATGCCCCCGCCCTTCCATCTTCCAGACAAGGTATAACGGTCCAGAGGTGGATATGAGAGATGTTATGAGCGAGATAACAAAATAGAAGAGGGTGGTTGCCTAAAGATAGAGAGGGTGTCCTGTATTATTATGTAAGGCTGTATGTTTTTGTTTTCTCGTCCTTTCGTCTTTAAATCAATATTTTAATCCTTAGTTTCCTGACACCTCAGACAAATACTTTCACTGAGTTGAACTGCCCTGTGCCTTCAATTAGTCAAGGGATTTAAATCGAGTATTGTATTTTTTAATATCCATACCCAGGTGAAAAAGACGTAGTATTAAATGTATTAAAAATATGCTTGAAATTCAAGTAGTGTGTTTATAATACATTTGTATCCCCAACATGCTTATTTGAAGTGCAATAAAAATATATTGAATTGCATTTTAATATATTTCTAAACAGTATACTAGAAATACTTTTGTATTAAATATATGCTTAGTTATACTTTTAAGGAATATGCTAAACAGAAGTATACTTTTAATGTATTTATAAAAAGTATACTAGAAATACTTTGGTAATAAATATAATTTTAGTTACACTTTTAAGGAATATGCTAAACACAAGCACACTAATAGTATATTTCTAGTGTATTTACAGAAAACATATTTATGTTACCCTTACTTAAAGTATATTTTATGTCTACTTTGTGTAAGAACATAACAAAA